AGCCTAGAAACACAGCCCACATCCCTTAATATTTCCCCATCAAAAACCACAAACTAATGTCACCCAACACCCCCACAAAATCCCTGATTCATCCCCCATGAAAGGACTCCATATTTGATTATTATTGTCAAAGATTTGTTAAGGAAAGAACTTGGTAGTTTCCCCTTTCTTGCTTGCTTATTTATATCGGCCATTGGCCATTGTTGTAACTCACCTTTGAATCTGAAATTTCCATTAGGAATACACTTATGTGTTTGCTATTTTAAATCCCTAATTCTATATCTTAAGGGTGGTTACCTTGAGTGTGAGTTTTAGGTTCTAGTTATTTAAATAAGTGTGTTATATCTTATTTGAATACTAGATTCAACCCCAAGTTAGGATAAGAGTGTGTAATATCTCTTAACACCAACTTGGTTTATCCAACACTTATTTCTATCCATTTTTAATCCCACCATTTCTCTCCTGATCCTCCTTTCTTTTCTCATATTAAAAACCATTAAAAAGAAATCTTTCACACTCCATTTATTTCGCCCCTTGCTTCCCTTCAACATTTTATCACATTTCCTCTCCGAAAAACCACAACTCTGTTAAGACCCCTAGTTCGAGATATATCATTTGGTATCAAAGCTCATTGTTCCACATCCCTAAGGGCCAAAAACACTTTCCTCAACCCTCCCTTTCCCCTCAACCATTTCGTCCCAAACCTACTGCAAAAAAAAACAGCCCAACACAACCCACTTTTCTTCCTTCATTCCCTACTGCCCAGAACCAGCCCCAAAAAAAGCCATTCCTCCCTTGCCTTTTACTTTGGTTTGAGAAGCCAAAGACAGCCCAAAAACCCAAAAGCCCACCCACCTTATCACCTAAAACAGCCCCTGGCTAAACCATCCAAAAACCAAGCCAAAACATACTCCAAAAACCTTTCAACTCACTGCCCAGGAACCAAACCCAACATAACCTATCTTTGTTCACCTTAGGCCCCCAAAAACCAACCCCAATTCGGCCAAACTATACCCCAAAATACCCTGCACTTCTCCTTCCTTAAAACCATGTCAAACCACTCCCAAAACATGTCTCGTGGAGATTTAGTTGCTGAACAGAATAAACTCAAGAAGGAGCTTGATGCTTTGATGAAAACGATTGGAGAGTTCACAAATTCAGTGGACATTCCGACCTTTGAAGGAAGAAACGATCCGGAGAAGTTCCTACAGTGGCTCAAGAAGGTTGAACATATCCTAATCCTCAAGGATATGCCCGAAGGCAAAATGGTCAAGCTTGTAGCATCCCGGTTCCAACAAAACGCTTCCACTTGGTGGACACATATTTCCACTAAGAGAAAGTTCGAAGGAAAGCCCAAAGTACAAACTTGGGAGAAGATGAGGAAGCTTTTGATCAAGAGATTTTTGCTGAGAGATTACCATCACATGCTTCCCCCAAACCCCTTTAAAACTCATATCCCAACTAGGGTTGTAAACGAACCGAATCGAATCGAATATTCATGAATAATATTCGTACTCGTTAAGATAGAGTGATATTTGAATTCGAATTCGGTTCGAATATTTTTTAAGATTCATATTCGGTTCGTTTAATATATTGAACATATTCGGTTTGTTTAAATATATTCGGTTCCTTTAAAAATATTCGATTTATTTAGATTTTAAAATATTTTATAACCATTTAATCTAATGGTTAGCTGTGTGTGTGTGTGTGTGTATTATTTGTATAACTAAAATTTATATTCCGAATATATTTGTCAAACTCACGAATCGAATACCCTTGATTCATATTTGTACTCGATAAGGATTCGAATATTTATTCAGATTCGTATTCGTATTCGGATTTGAAAAAATCGAATACGAATCACCTCATACAAATACGAATCACGAACCGAACTAAAAATATTTGATTCATTTACAACCCTAATCCCAACCATGCCTTTGTCTCCAGAAAAACCACCCCATGAAGCCACTCCAAAAACACCAAGAGCAAGCACCCTACACATGGCCACAACCATCCCCATTCCATCACCCACACCTACATTTCAAACACTATCTAAACACATCTCTGTTTCTTCCTTAGCTACTGCCCAAAATATTCCCCAAACCTCTCCCACACCTACAACTCAAAAACCACTTAACGCCATGCCATTACCTTCCACAACTACTGCCCAAATTGTCCCCAATATCACCTCAACACCCATGCCCCAATACTCCTCAATAACCACCTTCTTTTTGTCTCTAACCCCTGCCCAAACGAACCCCAAACCCCTCTCAATACCCCTGCCTCCAAACTCTTCCAAAACCATGCCCCTCATCCCTCCACAAACTGCCCTAACCATCCGCACGCCTACCCCTACACCCCCACTTGAAAAACCATCTAAAACCATGCCTTTACCCCTTCTAACCACTGCACATCACACCCCCAACTCCGGTCCAACATCCCCACCCCAATCCGTTCCCAAAGTCATGTATTTAAGCCTACCACAAACCCCCAAAAGTACCCTTGAAGAGTCATCTTTCTTCATGGTTCAAACCCCCACCTTTGCTTCCCAAGTTGCTGATCTCTATTTCCGAGAGATAGTCAAACTCCATGGCGTTCCCCGAAGCATGGTCTCGGATAGGGACACGAAATTCCTTAGCCATTTTTGGATGACCCTATGGAGAAAGTTGGGTACTAAACTGAAGTTTAGTACGTCGAGCCACCCACAAACCGATGGCCAAACCGAAGTCACCAACCGCACCCTCGGAACACTCTTACGAGCCCTCATCAAGAAGAACATCAAGCAATGGGAAGAGCTTCTGCCGCACGCCGAGTTTGCCTNTCCGAGAGATAGTCAAACTCCATGGCGTTCCCCGAAGCATGGTCTCGGATAGGGACACGAAATTCCTTAGCCATTTTTGGATGACCCTATGGAGAAAGTTGGGTACTAAACTGAAGTTTAGTACGTCGAGCCACCCACAAACCGATGGCCAAACCGAAGTCACCAACCGCACCCTCGGAACACTCTTACGAGCCCTCATCAAGAAGAACATCAAGCAATGGGAAGAGCTTCTGCCGCACGCCGAGTTTGCCTACAACCGAACCCCAAACAAGACTACCGGACTATCCCCATTCACGGTGGTCTATGGTTCGAACCCCTTGACCCCACTTGAACTTGATCCGATCATCATGGAAACCAAATACAATTGGGAGGCAGACAAGCGGTCAAAGGAAATCCAGGACCTTCACGCCGAGGTTCGAGACAAGATCGAGGCTATGAACGAGAAGGTAAGCGCACGCATCAACAAGGGAAGGAAGGATGTCCACTTCCAACCGGGAGACCTTGTTTGGATTCACCTCCGGAAAGAGCGTTTCCCCACAAAACGCAAGTCAAAGTTGCTGCCAAGAGCCGATGGCCCGTTTGAAGTCTTAGAGAAAATCAATAACAATGCCTACAAGATCAACCTTCCAGGAGAATATGGAGTATCGGCTACTTTCAATATCAAAGACCTTAGCCCGTACTTTGAGCCTGAAGAAATTCCGAGTTTGAGGACAAACTCTTTTGAAGAAGGGGAGGATGATATACCCCGGGCGACTACCAACGACTCTAAAGTCGTTAAACAAATTAACGGAATAATGGCTAAGTGTTATGATTCCTTTTGGGCCGAACTTATCAATCCTAAAACCCGCCACATAGCCATAATTTCCCTGAGCCCAACTCCAACTTAAAAGGCCCAGCCTTTCTCACCCAATCCAAACCAAAATATCTAAAAAAATAATAAACCCAAAACTACATTTATTTTTCCTTCATCCCTGGCCAAAAACCTCATGCCACAACCCTGCCAATACCACTCCTTTACACTTCAACTTGGCTAAACAAACAACCATAAAATCCAAGACACCTTGACCCACACCCACATCCTTCAAATTCCCATGTTTTTACCCCATATCCAGCCCAGGAAATACCTCCAAATAACCTGCTTCCCCACCCCTTTTCTCCTGCCCCAAACAACCCCACCTAAGCCAATCAATTGTGAATTATATTCACATATTCCCTCCCACCACTAATAGCCAAAACCCTGCCCTACAAGTACAATAATCCCTGTGTTTTTCCCACTAAAGAAACATCAACAAGTGGCCATTAATTTCTTTAATTTGTGTGAATAAGAGACTTGGTAGTCTCCCTTTTATATGCCTATATAAGTTCATCCCTGAGCATTGTGAGACATACATTGTATTCCAATTTTAATCAAAGTGATTCACTTGTGTGTTTCATTCCAAATTCCTAATCCTATATCTTAAGAGTGGTTCTCTTGAGTGTGAGTTTTAGGTTCTAGTTATTTAAGTGAGTGTGTAATATCTTATTTAAATACTAGATTCAACCCCAAGTTAAGATAAGGGTGTGTAATATCCCTTAACACCAATTTGGTTTGTTTTTCCTTCCCAAAGAAATACCTTGTTCCTGTCTCGAGCTGTCAAATAATCGATTATCCCTACTGGAAATCGATTATCTATCCTTCGTGAAACATCTGCAGTCTTCAATAGTCGATTATCACTCTCATATAATCGATTATCAGCCTTTCCCAAAAAAACCTGCCATCCTCAATAATCGATTGACGCCTCCTGTAAATCGATTATCTCCCCTCCCAGAAAATCCCTAGAAAATTACCCCAGAAACTGAAGCCCCTGATAGTCGATTATCCAGTTTGGGAAATCGATTATTGCTTCCCTGTCCTTAACAAGATAATTCCTTCAAAAACCTGAGCTTGGGTATAACATTGGTTAACAATCCGTCCCCCAATCCGTCGTCAAGTGGCCTGCATTGAATCTCTTTTGAAGGATGGTGGAGATGTGTTCTCAATATACACATCTTTATTTATCATCAAATATTAGTCCTACCATGAAATTTAGTCTTAGAGAGTTGTCTAGACTTCCCTACGAGGTTTGCAAAAAGGAGGCAATAGACATCCCTATAACCATTGTATTGAACCTACTCCATGAATTTCTTGATCTGGCTTCAAACACCTACCCCTCAACCCATTTCCAATGAGATGTTGCAATTCATGCAACAAGTCACACATTCTCTCAACACCTTGAATACAACTTGGAATACAAAGTTTGACCAACTTACCACACACAAAAATATGTTGGAGAACCAAATTGCATCTCAAGCTTCTACCTCTCAAACAAAAGCCACGGGGAAGTTGCTTGCCCATTCAGAAAATCCAAAGGATCATGTCAATGCCATAACTACAAGGAGTGGGAAGCAAACAAAAGATCTCCAACCGGCCTCTTATCCCAATTTATCTAAAGAGGATGACATTCTTAAGGGGTCAACAGCTGTTGAAGAGGTAGAGGAGATTCCAAGAGAAGCAACAAGGAAGCGAGCAAATCACCCCAATTTCACTTCTGATATGTCCGTTTGGTTCTTATCATTTACATAATATTCTAAACGTTATTGCACGTAAATAGTATTTAATCATCTTACAAAATGTGATTTCAATGAATAAAACTCTCATTTTTGTTCTAAGAGTTATAAAATGGGATTCCACATGAAATCATCATAAATTATCCATTTTATGTTCAAATACTTGAGAAAAAGGGAATAAACCATCAAAGGATCAAGATTCGGGCTTGAACGAGCTTCCGGGAGGTCAAAAACAGCGTTCGGGGCCAAAAAGGAGTGAAACTGGGCCAAAATCACAAACCAGCCGCAAAGCCCAACAAGGGAAGGGCCTTAGGTGTCCAACTTGGACGCTTGGTCAAGTTGGACGCTTGGGGTTGGATGCTTCAGCTTAATTGCAGCCCAAGAATGACACGTGGCAAAACTTGGTTGGCCAGGACAGCTCAGGTGTCCAGATCTGGACGCTTGGACTTGGACGCTTTGGCTCTGTTCCTATAAATACAGCGCGATCTCTCTCATTTTTATCATCCCATTCCATCCCAACTTCGGGATTTACAAATCCCCTCTCCATTTTAGCTTGTATATTAGTTGTAGTAGTTAGTTTGAAGTATTTTCAAGGGTTTTGACTCCAGATCTGTTCTGTTCCGCTTTTACGGAGGTTGTAAGTTTTCTTTATTTAATAAAATGCTATTTTAATTTAAGTTTACATAGTATGAGTTAGGGTCCGGATCTCTAGGTCCGGACTAGTTTGGTTGTATATTTTGAATGGTAAATTACTGTTGGAATGGTTAGTCTATTTTTCTTGCCTTATTTAGTTAATTAATATCGGAAGATTTAATTAGCTATTTATTGAGAAAGTATTGTATCCCAAAGGGCTATAATATTCAAGAGCAACGGATACACATCTAGAAATAGATGAGCAATAATAGAAATATTATTATTCCAATTGTTAATTAAATATGATAAAATAGATCCAAATGATGTCCTAACCCTAGGTCCAGATCTATACTTATACTATGTGAAATTTATTTATTATTTTTACTCTGCTTTATCTTTAATCGTTTCGAGAAGACTTTCATAAACCAATCCTAATCTTCGCCTAATTAGAGTAATTAAACTAATTCCCTTCGTCCACTCCTCGTGAGACACGACACTCGGAGAGAAAACTAACCCTTTACTGGGAAGGTTTACTACCTGAAAAACTACGATCACCAAATGGCGCCGTTGCCGGGGAGTGGCACGACATTAGTTTAATTTCTTCTTATTAGCTTAGGTGAAGATTGGTTAGAACGATCTTCTCACTTCTTTTTCACCAACCACCCGTAATAATTATAATGGATAATTCCAGTGGTTATTAGGGCTCGCCTTCTTACTACCAATCACCCAACCGCCCTCCGTACCAAACCCATCCACCTTACCACCCACATCAGAACCCATATGATGAGGACTACTATGTCAACAATGGGTCCGACTACTATCCCTACCATGAGTAACCATCATATGATACCCTGTCTAGGAACTTTGGATACCAAGACACTGATGGGGATAATTATTTTGAACCTCATGGGGATCAAGATGATTATGACCAATATGGGCATGTGTACGAAGACCAACCTGATCCGCTCGTCGAAGAAATAATAAAATTAGAACAGAAAATCTTCTATTTCGACGAAGTTCTATTCGCTGAATCTCTTGGTACGAACCACCTTACTGCCGTGACTACACCTTATTTGCTGAAGAACAAATTGAAGCAAACAAGGTGGCAATTCGAGAAAGAGCAAAACTTCTTGAATCAGTCGGAAAGGAAAAAGAGTTTGAAAGGAGATTATGCGAAGGATCAGACTTGATGCAGAAAATGCTGGACGACTTTCAAAGAGAGAGACTAGAAGCTGAGGAGGCTAAAGATGAGAAATTAGTTAATGATCCATGTAAGGCTATTGAGCTTAAACACTCCCTCCAACCTCAAGATCCACAATTGGAGGAAGTTAGTGCTCAAAAAGAGGCTCTAGAACCTAAGACCAACACTGAACCATTCAACCATCAGGTTCCAGTTCTTGAAGATTCACCCAGTTCAACACCATCACAGAAACCCGAGAGCACAACAACTCTCGCTAGGGCTACTGTGGTGATGTTACCTAAATCCCTTCCTAGCCAAGTCCAAGCCAACATAGTCGTACATGAGGTGGAACCAACCAAGGGACCTGACTCAGAACCACCTATACTTATTCAAGAAGAAAAGGAGGAGGAAGTTTTGCCTATGGTAAGAAACGACCGTCTCCTTAATTGTGTTGAAGACACGCCTCCAGAGGACCTATTCTGGAGGAAATAGAGCCCATTACCTGCCCCAAGATACCAGTGTCCAAGTGTCCGAGCAGGAATCTACAGACAAGGAAATACTTTACATAGAAAAGCCAACTCCGTTTATAGAAACCTGTCTACATAATGCTTCCTCTGAAGATTCAGACCAAACCTTCTTTGACTCCCTACTTGACGGGTGCGACTATGTCTGCCCGAAGGATGGTTGGAGCTTAAGGAGTTGGGATGAACTTTTGGTGAGTGACAAAGAGGACTCTTCCATGGGAGAAAGCATGGTCGTAATCATTGAGCCACAAATAGATAGTCAGCCTGTTGAAGACAAGGAAGAATTCAATCTTGCTATGAAGGCCAATGATGTGGATCAACTGAGGAGACTTCCGCCACCACCCACCTATCTAGAGTCTCCTCCTTTTATCCTGTTGCCACCAAGCCGCAGGGATGAGTCAAGGATCCTGGACCTTGACTGAGCAACAAATCAAACAAGGTGGTATCAGAAGAGAGTAAAAAAGGCCAAACTTTATTACTCTCGGATCGAAAAGTCGCTGAAAAAGTGGCTTACGCGTCAAGCTACAGACATTAAAGAAGCACTTAATGGGAGGCAACCCGTCACTCAAATAACTAAAATAGTTAAATAGATTTTATTTATTATTTTTGAGTTTCTACTTGCCGCACCAGTTTTGGGGGCAAGAGTTATTTTGTTTTGTTGTCTTTGTTTTTGCAGATGGGAGAACCGTAAGGAATACCTTATAGAGGAAGCAAAGAAGAGGTTCTGCACGTGGGGTAAACACACAAAGGTTCTATAGCCTTTGATTATTCTTGATCCAGCATTCCTGGTTGAAATTAGCTACAGAGAGGATATTGACTTCCTCAGTAAATTCTCTTTTTCTCTACTATTTTGAACATGATTTGGATCCTTGATTGATTTTTATTTTGGAATTTCACATTATGACTCTTAAACCCATTTTGAGAAAATTTTATGCATTATTTCCTTTTTACATGTTATGATTACCTATTATTTCAATCTTCATCATTGAATCTTTTAAGTATTTAGATAACTTAGTAATTGCATGTGAGCATTTCAACCATTAACTCCAATTCAAAAACACTCTTAACCACGAGGGCGTGGTTCCGTTTAAGTGTGAGGAGGTGAGAGTATTTGGCTGAAATGATCTTTTTAGGAATTGTTTTGACTATTTATTTGAAAGAAAATGTTTTATGAAATAGTCATCAGTTTTATGTGTTTGATTAGTTAATTTTTAGTTATCACCCATAAAATTTTTTTTATACTTTTTGTCAAACTTCTATTTTTACTCTAACTATTTGGGAATTGTTTTGACGGTAGTTCTCTACCCGAATGTAGGCCCTTTCTCTTCGCTCGTCAATGAGATGTAACTCCGCCCTTGAGTTTTCTTCGTTCTCCAGTGTATCAAAGGTCTCTACTCGATGACTTAGCAATGAGATTTCAGCTGGGGCTCTTGCCTCGAACCCATAAGTGAGCGCAAACGGTGTTTCTCCCGTGGCCTTCCTTGGGGTGGTCCTATAAGTCCATAGGATACAAGGCAACTCTTCCACACCCACGCACTTTTGCACTCCATTATCTTCTTTTTCAAGCCATCCACTATGGTGTGATTAGTAGTCTCGACCTGCCCATTGGTTTATGGGTACCCGACCACAGCGTAACAATGCTTTATTCCCCAACTCTACAGAAACTCATTGAACCCCCTGGCCTCAAATTGGGTTCCGTTGTCAGTGATAATCTGTTGGGGCACTCCAAACCGGCACAAAATTTGTTTAGACACAAATTTCCTCATCTGCTCTTCGGTGATAGTCGGTACAGGGGTGGCCTCGACCCATTCAGTAAAGCAGTCGATTGCGACCACTAGGTACATGTTATTTCCTGCTCCCCTAGGCAAGATACCGACAAGATCAATGCCCCACCGGGCAAAGGGAATCGCCGTGCTGATCGGGGTGTAATTCGTTGCGGGTCGCCCTTGTACCCTTTGAAATTCTTGGCAGACCCTACACTTACGTACGTACTCTTCGCAATCTCTAATGATCGTAGGCCAGAAGTACCCTTGCAGGGTTATCTTCCTGGACATCGTAAAAGCTCCTTGGTGCGCTGAGCATATCCCCTCATGGATTTCTTCCACCAACTTCTGTGTTTCATCCCTCCTCAAACACCTTAACAGTGTACCATTGTAGGATCGTTTATACAACCTACCGGATCTGTTGGTAGCGACTTGTCAAGGATGTACATAGTTAATTCGTCAATCCAGTCCGGCTCATTGAGTGTAATGACCAAAACTTGTCCGGACCGATGCTTGGTTCGAGCAACTCCTCCTCCTGAGTCATCGTCTTGATATGATCTGGGGAATCAGGGCCAAGCTTTGACAGGATATCCGCCTCAGCATTTTCTTCTTGAGGGACCTGCTCTATTAGGTACGCCCCAAATGCCTTAAGCAATTCTAACGCAGTGTCCCTGTACTTCTTCATCCGCTCTGTAACACCCGCCTTCCGTGGACCCGGTTCACCCGCGACCCAACAGACCGGTAGGGTTACATGGGCGGTCCGAGAACCGTCCGTAGCGAAAAACATTAATGCTCATTTATTATGAAAATGGTTGGGTTTAATTAGTGGAATAAATGCTAGGGAGTTAACCCCAAAATGTGTGTTATAAATGCAGAGTAAAGCGGAAGTAAATAAATAAGTCCAAAACAAGTAAAACGACAAATGGCGGGTTCTTGCCCAAATGATTAATTGATTAAATACATATAAATATTAAACTTGTCCGTGCGCCGCCCATCTTCCCATCATCACTGTCCTCCAGGGTTAGCACCTGTACCGTCATGTCTACCTGCGTGTAGCAAAAATAACTACACGCTCAGCAAAAGCTAAGGAGTGAATCTAACAAAAGAACATGAAGTGATAACCCATATGATTATACACACATTAATACATGTACTTAACGTATGGAAAATCACATGCTTACTAACCTGTTTAGTTTGCACATGTTGGGGTACTATTACATATAACAAAATGATGTGCTACCACATTGAATGTTGATGTGATGTGGAACATACATGATGATGATATGGCTTGATGCATGACTTAAACTATCAGGGACACCCCTGGCTTAGTCTCACTTTACAGGATCACCCCTGCACTCTGGTTGTCATACCGAAACGGTAATGAGCCGGGAACAAGTGGACTAGCAAAACTGGTTAGTAGCCATAACCTGACTACTATGTACGTACACAAGGCCCACTTAATGAAAATCCGTTGGATCCCAAAGGTTCCTGGGCGGGCCCACTGTAGTAGGCGCACGAAAGCCTGACCTCCCTACAGCGGTATGCACATGATGATGAACTTAGGACATGCGTCTAGAACGAACATGATGAATGCTTGATATATTTACCTTTGGTCAACGCCAAGAATATATCAATTAAATACTCCCTCTGTCCACCATAGATCTTCCCAGACACTATTCATAGGGTCAAACTTTAATCACTTTGTTTGCTCATTTTTACTAGTCATTTCATAAAATAATATAGTCTTGTCACCTCTAGTTTTGTAGAACTTTTCATGTAGTTTATTACTATATAAATTTTATTTTATAATTTTACTCCTATAATGAATTAAATTGAATTGAAAATAAAGTCGGTCAAGCCTCGTAACGCGTAATGGGAAGATCTTACATGGACGGAGGGAGTAACATTTATAATGAAGATTAACATTTCATGCAAACATACAATCAGATTCTGAGTCAATATGGTCAACGGAATTAGTTCTACAAACTGCCTGGAAATCTGCCCGAGGAACGGTCGACCGTACCCTACCGGCGGTCGACCGTGGGCTATGGTCTAGGTCTGCGTCTCAAACGGTCCACCGTCGCGTTTCTTATCCCAACCTTTTTTCGTAGCAGAAATATTTACTGGTTCGCCAGGTAAATATGTTAGTCTCGCAGAAACTATTAGGGGATGTACTTTGATCCTTTTTGGGGAATTCGACGATCTTCCGGAACAGGCTTTTTATTTGGTAGGTACTATTGATGAAGTTAACGCGAAAGCGATGTTAGAAGAGGAAAAATTTTTTACTAAATGACCTTATTAAAACTTTGTGTACTGACTCCAAATCAAATTGTTTGGGATTCAGAAGTTGAACAAATCATTTTATCTACCAGTAGTGGACAAATTGGAATATTACCGAATCACAGGTGGGCTTGAAAATAGGGGGTGAGCTTCTTCACTGTACATACCATGGCAAAGATCATCTTTTCCATATTTGTATACCTTAGCTCTGCCCCTCGCAACACCCGGGCCACATAATACACAAGGCGCTGCGTACCTTCCTCCTCCCTCACAAGTACTGAGCTCACAGCTCGAGGAGAGATCCCTAAGTACAAAAACAAGGTGATATACCTTGGGTTACTACCAAGGATTCTAAAGATGTTAAACAAATCAATGGAATAATGGTTAAGTGTTATGATTCCTTTTGGGCTGAATTTATCACTATATCTTAAGTCTCATTCCAAATTCCTAATCCTATATCTTAAGAGTGGTTCTCTTGAGTGTGAGTTTTAGGTTCTAGTTATTTAAATAAGTGTGTTATATCTTATTTGAATGCTAGACTCAACCCCAAGTTAAGATAAGAGTGTGTAATATCCCTTAACACCAACTTGGCTTGTTCCCTTCCCCAAAGAAATACCTATTTTCCTGTCCCGAGCTACCAAATAATCGATTATCACTAATAGTAATTGATTAACCACCCTTCGTGAAACACCTGTAGCCTCCAATAATCGACTATCACTCTCAAACAATCGATTATCAGCCTTTCCCAAAAACCTGCAACTTTCAATAATCGATTGACACCCTTCTGTCATTCGATTATCCCCCTTCTCAGAAAATCTCCGAAAAGATTGCCCAAGAACCTGAAGCCCTGAATAATCGATTATCCACTTTGGACAATTGATTATCTCTCCCTCCCTGCCATTAACAAGATTGTGCCTATAAAAACCTGAGCTTGGGTATAACATTTGGTATCAAAGCTAAGTGTTGAACATCCCCAAGGGCCACTCACCATCACTCCTTTTCCTCTTCCCTAAAAACCCCCATAGCCAAACTAAACGACCTTCCTTACCTTTTCCCACTTCAACCATATCGAATGAATCCCGAACTATGTCCCATGAAGAGCTCATTGCCTCAAATACAGCCTTGAAAGCACAAGTGGAGTACTTGGCTAAAGAGGAAGCCAAGCTTACGAAGATGAAACTCAACGAGCTCCAATGAAGTGACCGTGAAGAAGACGTTAGTTTTAGTGATATACCCCGGGCGACTACCAACGACTCTAAAGTCGTTAAACAAATTAACGGAATAATGGCTAAGTGTTATGATTCCTTTTGGACCGAACTTATCAATCCTAAAACCCGCCACATAGCCATAATTTTCCCTGAGCCCAACTCCAACTTAAAAAGCCCAGCCATTCTCATCCAATCCAAACCCCAAAATATCCAAAATAATAAACCCAAAATTACATTTATTTTTCCTTCATCCCTGGCCAAAAACCTCATGCCACAACCCTGCCAATACCACTCCTTTACACCTCAACTTGGCTAAACAAACAGCCATAAAATCCAAGACACCTTGACCCACACCCACACCCTTCAATTCCCCATGTTTTTACCCCATATCCAGCCCAGGAAATACCTCCAAATAACCTGCTACCCCAC